AATTGGAATCATTGTGTTGAACATGATCAAAAACGACGTGAAAATGGGACCCAAGTCAACACTTGCCTGCGTCAAGTACCATGCGGAGTTCTCCACGTCCTCGGCCCAGTATTTGTACGCGATAGTACAGGCGACCGCCAACGCGACGACTAGCGCCACAATTAGCATGACGACGCGGTTAACCCTGGCCTGCAGGGAGGGCGACTTGATCCGCGGGTTCTTGTTAGCGTTCATTCGAATCTTGCACTCCTCGCCGGTGTAAATGACCATCCCAAGAACATGTTCAGTGTTGCGCAGAATGCTCCCACGGTAGACAATCTCGTTGTTAGTCAATGGCAACTTTTCCTGGCCGTTGATGACCACATTTCCATCGAATTTGTAGAGGTCCAGGTTGGGGTCTTCCACTGCAAAGTGAATGGAGTTGCTGCAGATATCCTCGACCGTGGCGCAAACCTTGGAGACTGGCTGGCATGGCTGTTTATTCTTGAGATTCGTTTCACCGTCCAAAGCCATGGTCTCGATGTACGCAACTCCATTGGGTCCCTCGGCATGAAGCAAGACGAAATCCGCAGGCACGGGTTGATCGCGCTCGAGTCTGATAACATCGCTGACCTTGATATCTTCCCATTTGATAGAAGCCCAATCCTGGGAATCACTTGTCATGGAGACGTCACCACCTGAGGCTGCCGGGGAAGCGCCTTTTCCGGGGCGCAGAACGTTTGCATAACGGTTGTTTTCTTCTTTGTCTAAGCGATAGCGACGCCAATCATCAAGCCCTTCTTTACCCATCGAGATACCAACGAAAACCAACAAGGGAACCAGAGTAGTGTAAGTACCGGTAGTACTCAGACCGGGAATCATCTGCAGAATCGCGACAACCAGGAAATAGAAGTTTGCAAGTTTAGTGAATTGCGCCCACAACTGGCGAGGAAAGAAACTCCAGAAACTGTAACGACTCGACCGAATCCAGTTGCCGATATATGGTTTCCCCGTACGTTCGTCAATAGGGGTTTGAGCGCATTTCGGATCCAGGTCGATGTGACGGCCATCCTTGCTTGGAGGGATGTCTTTGATACGTAGAATAGTCTTGCGGATGGCCTCCAGAGCGTTGTTGACACGACTGGTCATCAGAGTGCTCATCGCTTTTCTCTTGAGCCACCTCTCGTGCGAAATCGACGTGGAAAGTCTCCCTTTGTTGTCCTCGGACGGTTCCGAGAAGTAGGTCGACACATCTTCTCTTGAAGTTGATGAATCTGCTGCAGCCTCTTCAATCGTCAATTCATGCTTCTCATCTTCCGAAGCGTTCCCGTCCTCCGCTGGAATGCGCTTGTCCTTGGCTGGCTCAGTTACCTGCTGAGTTGCCTCTTGCGGACCACTGGCTTCACCTAATTCAATTGCACTGGGAGGCACCTCGTCAGTCTGGGGCTGCATATTCTTCGTAAATATGGCGCGACGCAGCGAATATCCCCGATTGCGGGATCTGGAGCGACTCGACTCCTGGGGTGACGGAGGGGACAGCGCCGCATTTGGAGAGAGAGGAGAGGGACTCCGATCTGGAGAGCGACCGGCAGAATGAGATCGCGGGGGTGCCAGATTGGTAGTGTTCAGAGTAAGTCCCCTGGACGCCGCCCGTCGCCCTTCCCAACTCCCATCTCGCGACTCCTCCACACCGGGTCGTTCGAGATCGGTCGAGAAGCGAACATGTTGCTGCTGGGATGACCTGCGGCCAGAATCCGAAAATGTCCTAGTAGGGAGAGGCCTTGAGCCGATGCTTTCCTGCGATGGAGCCCTTAAAATCGACGGTGGTGCTTGCAGAGACTGTGGTCTTGAAGATGCCGTCTCTCCCTCTGTGGGCTGAGGCTGAGACACCCCCTGTGGAAGAGAATTCTCGGACGAACTATCATCTTTTGACATGGCGAAGGAATGTGCTCTCCACAACAATTTCCTTTTGCGTTTATTTCGGAATGCTCAGCGTCCCGATTGCTCTCCTTGCATCCACCAGTTGACAGATTATTAATTCAATGAATATATATACGTCTATCGATAGAACGTCAAAGTTCGTAGCGCGTGTAGTCAAATCGTCAGAATTTCGAGATAATCGTAACTAGGGCCGGGGAGGCATTATTCTCGCAGTCGACGTGACAAAACCGGAAGAAATCTGTAATGACAGGATATCCACATTAGCTGCTTCCGCTGCCGCTGCTTGCAATCACTTGTTTTTTTCCAAACACACCAAATTACCAAAGACACAAGCAACTAGCGATGCGATACTCCTGCGAGACGGAAGTGAAACGTGAGATTAATGGGCCACCGCAAGTCTCCCGTCTGGAGCGTCTGAGATAACCAAAGAAACAGAAAAGAAAAAAGAACCGAGCAACAACAACAACCAAACTTTTCTGCAACCACACTTGCAACCCTGTACAAGGCGGGAAAGCAACATAAAGCAGAAAAACCAACACCTGCGCGATGCAAAGAAGACGAATCGACGATTCCACAGGCGGACAGGTCGGCCTGGGGGAAGGCGGAACGTGCGCTAATTGGTCAGGGGACGGATGCGGCGTGGATTGTTTGAGCAAGCGACAGGCAAAAAGAGGGTGAGAAGGCAGCAATTGGAGAAGGACCCAAAATAAAGTCTAGACATTTGACTCAATACAACTTAAGCGTCCCTCAGCGAGGTACGTACCCATTGTACGTAGCCCCCAAGATCGCGGAACCGTGGTTAAAACACTGCCTCTCTGGTCTTTGCCACAAAAGGACTGAGCTGCCAATTGAAGAATTAAGAGCGCATGGTCATGTAAATGGTTTCTTGGTACTCTGAGGGAATCATCTGTCAAAGGTCAGGTGACCAGGTTTGACATTTTTCTGGAATCGATCCCAGATCCCTGGTCGAGTTCAGCGTCGCCATTGTATGCAGGTGAACAGGTAATAGCCAGCGCTTAGCCTTTACTTGAAATCACTATTGATTAAAATATGTGGACCTCATCGCATAACATGGCTTGTCGCAGCAATAACAGTGGTCCACTGTTATATATATACTTGTACTTGTACTTGTACCTTGGAAAACACCAAAACCTGCGAACTAGACGTGAAGCATTAAATTCGTTATATGCTCCACTGGCTAGCATAGAATGATAGCTGTTTCCAAGGTGCTACTGCGGTTGAGGGATTTAAGCATTGTCCGTTGGGCAGAAATGCCAGGAAATCCCGCAACCTACTGCGAAGACGAGAGGGGTCTCAACGATAACAAAATCCTGAGCGTCTTTTCGTTAACATTAACTTTTTTTTTTTTTTTTTTTTTCGCCTTTGCGCAATGAGCTAATGCTTCCTAGCAGTGTAAGAAGACATTGACGCTTCATTGATGTTACGACTGTCCTCGTGGTAGATTGATCAATATAACCTTCCCTGTCAGACATCAGAGGAAACTGCTGTCGACATGTCAAGTCTGGTAGAGTCTCTAGTGTCGTAAAGACGACTGCACTCGAAGATGCGGTAAATATCAAAGTGAGATACTAGATCTATAATGATGCAGGTATAAATGTCCGGTTGTCAAAATGTCGCGCAGTCACTCCATATTTGCACATCTACATCCCAAGGCCAAACATTCAGAGCGGACATGGAAAACCGGGATCTTTAATTAATCTCATAATAATGGAGCCATATGGCGTTGGACATACTTTGAAAGAGGGAATCTTGCGAAGAGCTGTCATCGAGGAAACATTTTTTAGATGGCGACTCCGGTGAGCAAAAATGTAACTCGCAAAGATGGGGTGCGGACTTTTGTTGCATTTGGTAATAAGAAAGAGGTTACAGGACCTGGTATCTGCACTTGAATCAGGTGAGTGGGTAGGCTGGGCTATAGCAGGAGTCAGTTGTACGTCTCGGTACCACCTGAAATCCTACACGACGCAAATGGGGGGTTGAGGTTTTCATAATGTACTCTGTACTGAATATTCTGCTAAGATGCGGCGTTATCCTGTATGGTCAGAGATGACAGCGGGAATTCCGAAATGTTCCATCGTATCCCTTACATGCCCCGCATGGAGTAGTGTCAGACAACAGGCAAGGATATTATTGTCATGACCGTGGATCTTCGAGAAGTACGTTGTTAGAAAAAATGTAGGCGGTGGCTAATCTGATTGATATGATCTTGGCCGCCGACATCGGCGAGTCCATCCGGGATGGACGCACGGAAGGGCTAGCGTATTTGTTATCTGATTTTGGCCTCCATGCATGATTTACGACTTTTCTGCAGGCTATTAGTGGTGTTATCCTGTCAGACGACATGAATTTCCTATATTGCACATTCTTATGTATCCTTCTGCACCAAGAAATGAAGTGGCAGGATTTTGTTTCCCGAGTTGGCCATGTCACACTTTCGATGCCAGACCGAGTTATCTGATCCGGCAGCCGACTTCCCGAGAGTCACGTGAAATATCCCTGGATACTCCGGATATTTCCTTCTGTTACGGATGACGGGTATTGAATAGAAAAAAAAGGAATCTTACGGATATTCTTATTCCCATCGACGTCAAAAACCGGCAAATGAACATATATTACTGCTGGGATATTGAGCAGATGATGTTATGGTGAACACAACAGAGGTAACCGAGGATGAGGAAAAATAACTGCCACCGGATCAGATTAGATACAGAGATCCTTGCAGGTATCGTACTGTCGCGTATTACCGCTTGCCACTATACAAACGTTACCACTCCATACTATCCATTCAGCTACTTCCCTTGCAAGACAAATAGGAATCTTTCTTAATTACGATTAATGTTCCTTTCAATAGCTAGACCAATTGCTGCTTGACAGTTGTACTCAGAGCATTCCAATTCGTTATGATCAATCAGACCCAGCGCAAACGAGTGACTTACCGAGAACGGTAGAGACTAGACGCTGCATTGCAGATCTCGGCCTGAGATTCAACAATTTTCTCTCTGCGGGGGTATGATCTTAATTTCTTGTCTTGTGAATTTCTTGCTCAGAATAATGCAATTTTTTTTTTTTTTTTTTTTTGCTATTGTTATGTAGAAAAATAGAGCCACTGGACTTTGATACTTGATCTGGAGCGTAACATACGGTATGAAACAAGTGGCGAGACCGGATCTGGAGTGGTAATTTTGATCGTTTCTTTTTCTGCCCTGCGTCTTATCTGATGGTTTTTCCAAACAACAACTGGACAACTAAATACAAGTACATTCATTCTTCCACAAGTGTTCAATCAATCTTCTATGCACTTTATTGCAGTGTATTCTGTATTACATCGCAACCGCATCATTACCTAGTGCAGCGGAACCGCTCTCCCGGGTGCCGGCTTTATCTTTTTTTTCCTCGCCTCGGGCCACTTCCTTTCCTCCTCATCCCACAATCCGTTTCCATTTTAACATCTCCTTCTCCTTCTCCTTCTCCTTCTCCTGAATGCTTGGCTTTGATTCTCGCATTTAATCGACGACCGTTACCGAGTTGTTGCTCATTGTTGCTTTTGTTCTCTTTGTGCCACTGCGTCCATCATTACGCCTAGGTGCCTACTTGCTCTTCGCTCACTACGACTTCGGGTCTTTTCTCAGTCTCTTCATATCTAACTGTCTTTCCAGTCACAATGGGTAATTGATTCTCAACAGCTCTCAAACAAGAGAGAGAGAGAGAGAGAGAGAGAGGTGCTAACCATGATCAGTGCACGCCGTTCTTCCTCCCTCCCCTCCATCCGCGAGGACCATGTCCACCACGCCGTCCTTCAACAACCAGCCTAATGGAGATCACCACAGCATCCCTGTGTCTGCCACCTCTCATCCGGACAATCCCATCCCAGAAGAACCCCGTGACAGATCGCTATCCATCCCCACGAGCTTCAATGCCTTGTCCACCCCTTCCCAGCAAGAAACAGACATGACAGATGCCAACACGCCGGTACCATTGACCCCACCATCAGAACCGCAAGATGAGGTCCAAGATGACAACGCGCAGTCATTCAATGGCGGTCGACGAGCATCAACCGTCCTCCTTTCCCAGAACTCGGATGATATGAAACGGGTATTAGAGAACGTGGGTCATGCAGGCACTCAGAAATTACAACCGCTTTGCTGCGGGGGTGGCTGCTGCCGTAGCCAGCCGTTGCAAAGAGTCCCTGCCCCGGGTCCTACTTCCACAACGAACAACGTCATTCCCCCAGATAACGAGGCATTCCGGAGCCTCCAATTGAACATCGACTATTTGACATTAGACAGTATGCTCACCGACGTTGCTGATCTTCCGGAGAAGACAGTTTCTTTTTCGAGTGTGCCAGTGTCTGCTGTCGACATGAAGTTGGGACCATCTGACCATCCGCCACCGTTTGTGCAACCGCATCCTCCGTACGAAGTGTTCCGTGCACCCTTGCACCACGCCCGGGAGCTCACAAAGGCTGGCGCGGAAAAGCGGACGTATCACTTTGATATTGATATCACCGACTACCCCGCAGAGAGCGGCACAGTTGATTTCGTCGTAGGTGGTGCTATTGGGATTTGTCCTAAGAACAAGGATGAAGAAGTGGATGACATCTTCAACTGTCTCGGAATTCCCAAGTCCATCCGGGACAAGAAGGTCACCCTGCGCACGACCAAGGGCCGCTGGCCTACTATTTGGGGTGATGACCAGCCGCGTGAGTTGGTCACCAGCCGAAGAGAGGTCTTGAACTGGTGCTCCGACATTCAAAGTTACCCTCCCACCAAGGCTCTCTTCCGGCTTTTGGGCGAGTATACCACCCACGAACATGAGAAGAAGATTCTCCTTTTCCTTGCCTCTTCGCAAGGTCAGGGTGCTTTCTGCGACCTCCGTACTACATCGCATGTTTCCGTCTCTCAGCTATTGCACGCGTTCCCATCCTCTCAACCCCCTCTGGACCACCTTCTCTCCTCCCTGAACACGCTGATGCCACGTTTCTACTCGCTCTCTCAAGATCCCTTGGCCTCCTATAGTATCAAAGACGGGGTTTCTCGTCGCCTGGTCGAAGTCGCTGTGTCGGTGGCCGAATCCAAGGACTACAAGCGTGGCTACCGAACCGGTGTTGGCTCGGGTTATCTGGAAGAGGTCGCTCGCAAGGTGGTCGATGCCGAAAAGCAGGGTATCGACCCTTCAACACTTAACGTGCACATTCCTATGTTCCGGGGACTGATGGCCAATCCATTGGCCACGCGATTTGCCTCGGATGGACCCATGCTTTTGATTGGAGCTGGCGTGGGAATTGCGCCTTTCCGTGGCTTCGTCCAGCGTCGTCTGCAATCTGCCAACTGCGCTAACAAGGTCTGGGTACTGCAAGGTGTCCGAGACTCCCTCCTTGACGAGCTGTACAGCGGCGAGTGGGGTGTGGAAGAATCCAAGGTGCGAACAGTAGTGCAGAGCCGTCGGGGCGAGAGCAAGTACGTCCAGGAAGAGGTGCGACACCAAGCTGATTTGGTCTGGTTTGTGATTAACGCACTGGATGGACGAGTGTTTGTCTGCGGTAGCGGAAAGGGTATGGGCGAGGGCGTTGAGGCTGCCTTGATCGATGTGGCGATGGCCAAGGGCAACTTGAACTCTGAAGAAGCCCAATTGTTTTGGGATAATAAGAAAGAAGCTGGACAGTACATTGCTGTAAGTTCCTCATTTTTTGACCAATGTCTGAATGATGCTAACGATCACTTTAGGAAACTTGGTGATTCATTGTGTTCTTATTTTCTTTAATCAGTTGCTTGATGGTCTATAATCTCGCAGTGCGAGATCAAAATTTGGTTGTATGTGTATCCGTCGGGATTGATATTCATTGCATGGTATATGGGAAATCGATATATGGGATTTGTTCGTTTATTGCAAAAATTTGGTCTATTTAGCGTGTTATCTATGTTTTTGGGTAGTTGAATTTGTATGCATATATAGTATAGATCAGGCTGGTAGCAAATGCCATGATTATTACCACCCTGCCCGTGCAGCTGCTCTGATACAGTATTCTGCTCCGTTATACACCAAAGGTATAACATGCTCTTCCGTCTTCATAGTCTGAGACTGTCTGAATGGTGTGAACATGACCTTTATTACTGCAAACCAGAGCAACGGGGAACAGCGGAACAGCTTTTTTTTTTTACTGCAGCGATCTGTCTTGTCACTGGGACAGCCTTCCCAGTAGCTTGCCACATTGCACCCTTCGCGTGAAACTCAAATGATACCAACATTGTAGCGACCTGCGCATTAATCATGGGCTCATGCAAGCTCGCTCTTAGAAGACCCAAATGTCCTCTACAAGCACCTAGGACAGCACCTTAACTCATCTAATAAGTATTAGAACCCTCGGTATTGACTCAGAATTTAGTCTCACCTCCGACTGACAAAGTTTCCCGAAGATATGAAACAGCGTATTATAAAAACAGGATGGTCGCTAGAGGAAGCCACTTTCCGTCCGAGATAACCCCATGTTCCTTGAGAAGGGTCACTACGTCCTGGCGGTCTGACACCACAGCAGCGTCCAGAGCCGCATTTCCTGCATCCTCATGTCTCTTATGAACTCCTCTTTCCAACAGAATTATGAGGATCTCTATTGGGGCATATAATCAGCCACTGCCAAGGCCAGAAAAAATGGCTCAAGAAGTGGATAAATGCGCCTTTGTCCAGAAACAATTCGAAAGTGCGAGAGGCCATATACTGCTGCCAGGTCGGCCCGTGTGGATCACAGTTCCTTAAATCTGCACCCTTCTCTAACCGAAGCTGAATTGTGTCAGTCTGGCCTTGAGAGGCAGCATATCCCAATGCAGTAGCGTTAATAAAATATCGATGAGATCTTCTCTCTGTGTACTCAAGCTGTGCTCCCATGCCCAACGAATAAGGTATGACTTTTTTTTAAAAAACTCGCAGCACACAGCAGCATATGGCTCCACAGTATCTCAATTTCATGTTTGGTCATGGGAGCGAAATCAGCCTTCTGGTGTAGTGATTTCAGCAAATCAAGATTGCCCTTTATAGCCGCGCATATCATTGCACAATAATAGCCGTATGATCTTCTCGAGATATTGGATTGAGGATGGAATAGTAGAAGCCATAATATCTGCTCATGTCCGCCTAGTACCGCAGCTTCCAGTGCAGTCTTGGGGGTTGGAAATCCCATCGGCTCCAAGTTCACGTAAGGTTCATGGAGTCCATCACCTCCCGTGTCTTCTTCATCCCATAGCTCTACTTCGATCCCCGCATCTGCACCTCAGTTTAGGAGGACATGGACAATTCCCAGATCGCCCTTGTACGCGACATGGAATAGGGGTGTTCTGAACATAATGCTGCAAGCTTTCAGACCAATGTATTCCCGTGCTTCCATGAGATATTTGACAAGTGATAGGTTTCCCAGATTAACTGCCACCGGGAGAAGGTGTTTCCAGTTTTAGTCATATTTGTATGGGTCATAATACTCTGGATCATTGTCCCGCAGTACCGCATTTAAGTGCAGGAGATTAAGCTCTGCAGCAGCACGCGGGACGTCCAGAGTGGTTTGTTTCAGCTTCTCATGCCTGTCTGACTTGGTCAGATCGGTGTCATCATTGAAATCGTCCATCATCTGCCAGATGCAGTAGGAGGCATCGCACACAGTGCGAATAAAAGTATTATATTCTGGTGAGTTTGGAGCGAGCGCCTGTCGTTGAATGTAATGCGCGGCAAAGGTTCTGCAGTGTCCCTTGTAGTTGTATTCAATCGTGGAACACACTTGGTCGATGATTTCGTGCGAGAAAAGCTCTGGTCCATGTTACTAATTTCATCTTGAAGTCATTGATGATGTGGTAAGCAGGTGAGGTTTATTACTTATCAGTTTGACTTGGGCCAGATCATGGCAAGTACTGCTATTAACGACTTATTGGATGGTCAACCGGAATATCTCAAGCGGCAGATCAAGGAGGAGCATGTTGTGTCTGATATTCGATGAGCGTGTTATATTCCAGTGCGAATCGAATCTTTAAAGGTAGATTGTCTTCCAGTCAGGAAAATGACGATGGGCTTATAAGAGTTGTACAGAGCTATGTGGTTATCACATGACTTATAATACCCCGGTAAGAGTCTTGCTGCAAGCTGTCATTTGGCGTATAACGAGGGTACCATCGAGTCAATAACCATGAAGATTCATCAATCGAGTCACGTACCTGTCAAGATTATCGGTAGAGGTAAAAACAAAAGGGTCCATTTGGCTTGTAGTCAAACGTAAACACTACTACTCTCTATGGTTACATTTTGCTACCAAAAATATCAATCTAGAGTCTGTTGTAATCCTGATCACTATACACTTAATTTAAATAAGGGGTAAACAACATCCTACTGGTCTGTATGTGTTCCAGAAAGTCTCTAAGCGACTCTACTTAATGACCCACCATAGCTTGCTGTGCAGGAGCATATCTGTTGCCATGTGGCTTAGCAGCATCAACAATCCTGCGCATTTCCTGCTTCCCCGCTTCACTTAGCTCAACATCCCGAGATGCCCAGTTCTCCTCAAGACGGGTGGCTTTGGTTGTACCCGGAATAGCAATCATTCCCTGAGAAGCAACCCAAGCAAGCGCAATTTGACTGACAGTGCAGCCTTTCCGAGAAGCAAGTTTCTTGATCTCTTCAACAATCGCCTTGTTCTTGTAGAAGTTCTCACCCTGGAATTTTGGGACTGCGGGTAAAAGGGTATGTTAGTTTCCAAAACCATTGCAGAATAGGAGCGAAGCTCTTGATCAAGACTCACTACTCCGCCGGAAATCATCCGGCGCAAAGTCGTCAGGAGATTGGTAATCAAAGTTATCGACAAGCCAGCCATGCCCCAGAGGGCTATAAGCAACATATGCGACTCCCAACTCTTTGCAGGAGTTGATCAGGTCATCTGTCTCATGCAATGTCTCAAAGGCCGAGTACTCTGCCTGGATGGCGTCAATCTTGGCAACTATTTATCGACGGGGTTAGTGACGAGGCTGACAAGGAGAGGAAGAGGAACTAACTTGAATTAGCTCTGCGAAGCGTCTTTGCGGAGCATTCTGAGAGGCCAATGTACTTGGTCTTTCCAGCCTTGCGAATTTCATTAAGAGCGGGGATGGACTCTTCAAGAGGCGTATCTTGGAGAGAGAGTCAGCATATAGCATGTATGAAAGCGGTGGAAGTAGGGCCTACTGGGATCGATCCGGTGCAGATAGTACAGATCAGGTGTGAAGCCTAGTCTTTCAATGGTTCCTTCGATGTACTCCTTGATATGGGAGGCAGAATTGGTGACGGAGCGATCAACAAAGACATCGAAACCACACTTCGAGGCAACTGTTTATGAATTAGAATCAACTATCCACAATCGAAAACACTAGATACGTACTGAAAATCTTATCGCGGACATTGTGCTTCCTGATAAAGTCACCTAGCAGCTTTTCGTTCACACCGGCTTGGTAGACCACCTAGATTCCCATCTGTCAGACTCGGTCGCATTAAAATGCAGGCAGGTACCATTGACTAACAGCAGTGTCCCAGAAAGTGCATCCCAGCTCAATCGCCTTCAACAGAACCGGCTCAGCTTCCTCCAAACTCAGGTTACTGCCCAAGCCAAAGCTCAGACCCATTGCGCCGAAGCCCGGCGAGGGGACTTGGATTTCGCCAAAGGGAAGTGTCTTGACCATGGTGAATTTCTTTTTCCGGGATGTCAATGATACTGCCAAACTTCTGTACTCGTGGTGGATAGCAGGAGTGGTAGGGAAAAGCGAGCTTAAATACAGTTTCTCTTCTCCACAGGAAGTCGAGTATATGCAACCTGCTTACCCCATAACACTCGGTTGGCGCCGGAAATAGAGATGACATAGCGGAGATAGCGATGACGATATATTATCACCGACCCTAACTCCGTCTGGATATCTTTGCAGATGGCATTAATCGACCTTTTTTATTCCCCCCCCCCCCC